TGGGGGCCCCCAGCGCGGCACCGGAGCAGCAGGTGCTGCACAGCGCAAAGGACACCGGCTGCGGGGGCACAGGCCCGGGCTGCCCGTTTGCCACGCGAGGCTGAAGGAGCAAGCGTGTGGAAGCCATGCTCAGGGTGAGACAACTGCAGACAGCAGGCGCTTCCCCACGGCCTGCGGCGGGGACTGCCGACCCAGGGCCAGAGAAGGGCTCCTTGTAAACAGAGAGGGAGGCAGAAGAACCGGAGGAAAGGCAGTCTCCTCTTGGCGCCCCATAGGAGAGAGCGACCCACATTCACAAGCATTATTACACCACCACCGTAATTGGATTAAGCCACGGGAAGACGCTTTTATCTTGTTTAGTTTAAACTGCGTTTGCGCTGAAGCTCCCTATTAAACCACAGACAGGCTATCTGGGGTGAGCGCTCCCTCTGCCCAGTCATTTAGGCAGAATGCAATTCTGTTATCACAACTCTCACATTGTCCCGTGCTCCTTTATCAGGGTAAGCAGCTAATTACAGCGCCTGGCTCACACAGGTAATCAGCACTCAGAAAAATGCAGTAAATGCAAAAACCTTCCAGGTCTTTAAGGAGCCTTTTCGCAATTCCCTCCCTCGTGTCCTTACTTCAGCCTGATCCATTTTCTTCCTTCTCACACTGAACAGGGTATGCAACGATCCAGAGCCAAAAAGGTGTGAGCAAAGCCTCAAGTCAACTGCTTTCCACTCCTGACCACACAAGCTGTGGGACCCTGGAAACCCAAGGTGCGATGCAGCACCATTGGAGCAGCATACATCGAAAGGTGAGCAGATGGACTACGGGCAAAATCCTTCCATCTAGCGCTCTGCAAGGTCAGTATTGTAGGCTTGTTCACTGTTTGGGACACTAATCTATGGGGAGAAAAATCATGCTGTTGGTTACACAGCAACCAATCCAAGAAACAAGCAGCCATTAAACAGTGACCTCCCTTCATCCATTCACATATTCATCTCTGCTGTATCCAGCTTCCTTTTCCTGCTGCCCAGCCTCTTGCCAAAGCTTTGAGGTTTGCATTCTGTCCATCAAAATCATCCCTGCAATTTCAGCTGGATGCAAAACTCTTTGCTTCCCATTCTGGAGCTTCTCATCATCATTGTGCAGTGCTGATACGTGGGATTAAACAGCTGATGTGGGATCCATTTATTCAGAGATATAATTTGTGCAATACTTAGGACTCCTTCAGGATGAATGTTACTAGGATTATTAAATTTGCATGCCACAGTGGCCAGCTGTTTCTGAAAACCCCTCCTTCAGGTAATTATGCTCCTCTGGAGTGGCACAGATGAAGTAGCACGACTGCGTCCACAAACCCCCACTGAGGGGAAGCACTAAGTGCTGTGGGCTGAGAGGTGGGCAGCTGGATATCAAATTATTTCTTAAAGCACGTGTCTGAAGGCAAGCCCTCTCTGGAAGAGATGCTGTTCCCAGCAAAGTAAAGCCTCGTCAGTGCAGAACCAAAGTATTAGCAAGGGCAGCTGAAATAACTCTACTTACTACGTCATAGCCTGCCGGTGCTCGGTTCCGGGATGCAACCACACCAACACCCGTGATGGGATCCATCGGCAAGTCGGGCAAGGCATCCGAGAGGTCTCGCACCTCAGGCATTATGGACTGATCCTGAAAGAAAGGAGCAGAATTACAGGACTGCTCAGCAGCACACCCCAGCAGCAGACAGAGAGCACCAGGAGCCCGCATGCATGCCACTGTGCCTGTGCCGACACACCGCAGACTGCCAAGTTATACAAAGGATTAGGCCAGACACACCTTCTGCACTTTCATTTGCTTTTGATAAGAGGGTACATTTGTGCAATGCCCAATAGGTTTGGAATTTGGGCGAGCAGCCTCTTCTGAGATTAATTTTATTGTTTCCAGGATACTTAGCATGGGCTGATGGGAAAACCCAAGCTCGTTCCCTTCCCTGCCAGAGAGCGAATTTCATCCCTGAGTCAGGCTGGTTGAAGCTGCTCTGCCATTTTAAGTAGCAAGAAATCTGCTCCTACTGGCTTCACTGAGAGGTTCCCCATCCACTATGGGCGTTAGACATGCTGGGGGTTCCCCCGCGAGCCTTCAGTCCCATTGCACCCTCCTGAACCAGACCATTTTCACGTAGCAGCACAGATGTATCTGGCATTGTATGCAAAACCGCGCTTGCTACAGAGAGCCTCAACACCAGGGGAACACAGATGAAGCAGCACAGAACGGGCTGATGCAAAGCAGACAGAGGCCTTGAAGAGGCCCGAGCATCTTCCAGGAGAAGGGAGACACCACCGAGTACTTCAGGGGAGGGAGATACGCAAAGGGGGACAGAAGCAGGTAAGACCAACCAATTTCGGAGAGATGCTGTTGCAGGAAGCAGGAGGAGAGGACAAGAGAGCTGCTGGAACAACTGGCTGAGGAAGAGGATGGGGAAAGGTGCCACTGCCTCAGCACGTGGTCTCCTGCAGAGGCAGCCAGTTAGGGCAAGTCTTCTTCCGCTTTCTTTTTTTGAAACCGCCCCCCACACACCCCGAGATAAAAGGGCAGTGCTTTGTGTAAACAAGCATCACTGCTGCGCAGCCAGACAAGCCGTGAACCAGAGCTACCTAATTCAATTCCCTCCTCAGAGCAATTAAACCCCAGCATTTCTAGGCCGTGCAGACGGCTGGTTACTTACTGCTAGAAAAGGCAGAGGTGAGTGCTGGTGCCAGTGGGACCTGGGTTTACACTTCACAATGCCCAGTCTGAGCAAACATCGTGCTGCAGGCAATAAAAAAGAGCAAGTCTGGGCCCTATGTAAATAATAGTAATGTCACATGAATAGCCAGACTACCTGAGGAGTCCAAACCAACAGCAGCTAGTGACCAGTAATGGTGAAAACACTATTGCCGATGAACAAACCCAGGGGAGGCCCCTGCTTTGGCACCTGGACGGGCACCCAGCACGCGCAAAGCCGACTCACTTTGCTCCCCATGCAGTTTAAGCCTCCAAAGGATGATTAGGAGCGCACCCAGAGCCGCGGGGGCTCACCCTCCCTCCAGATGGGTGCTGTGTCCTTAGGGCGGGTGAGGAGCGGGGGACTCTGCCGCAGGAACACTGGTGGCACCCAGCACAGCCCAGACAAACCCCGCACTGCTGCCTGCACTGCCTCACCAGCTCACCCAGATGCCTTGCAAATAATCCAGAACCCATTGCCTAAAATGTGCAGGACTGAGCAAACATAATGTGAATTTAACAAAGAACTTACAATCTGTTCTTCATACAGATGCACATTTTCTGAAACTTTTCCAAGTCACTCTCAATAATGTGATGACTTGTTACTACCCATCAGGAGGAGCTGGGAGATAATGAATGCCGATATGAGCTTCTCTTAGGCCATTTTGAACTGAAATCCAGGTAAGCAATGATATTCCCCAGCGCGCCAAGGACACCGCACGGCAGGCTTCAGCACAGCTGCACCGCAGGGAAGCAGATCTGCTCCCCCGGCGCCTTCGGCCTCCACCAAACCCACCCTGGCGAAGCGCCAGCTTGCTCTGCGGAGGGGACGGGGACAGCCGGGATGGCGCTGACCCCTCAGGGCAGGAAGCAGAGGGGCTGTGCCCCTTCTCTGGCCCTGGGAGAGCCCAGGCAGGCAGGGAGCCCCGGCACTCCCCCCTTGCGATGGCAGGGATGGGGCTCATGCAGGCCGGGGAGCTGCTGCTGAACGCTGGCCAGGCCCCGGCTCACCACGCTGGGGCTTGCTGCGGGGAGGCCCGGCTGCCCCAGCAGGAACCCAAGCAGCAGCAGGGTCGGCCTAGGAGAGGTCGAGGACGGGGCCCCAGGGGTTCCTGGCACCACCGCAGGAGGGGGGGGTGCCTGTACCCACAGCGCGGTGCCGCAGGGCAGATCCCCTCAGCCTGCCGGCACCTCGTCCTCGGCGGAAGGAAGAAGGGCACCTTTGTTGGAGCCGCTTGCAGTCCTGCTCCACGCAGCAGGGGGAGGGGAAACGGCATCAATCCTCACTTTGTGCCGGCTCACACAAAGCCCCTCTATGGCGGTGGCAGTGGCTAAGCACGGAGAACAGGGCTTTCCGCCTCGAAAGGGTGGGAGGCGGAAGCTGCGGGGCGAGACGCGATGTGGCACCGGTGCAGGGCCCGGAGCAGCACCCCATGACAGCGAGGGCCGAGCCAAGCTCCCCACACCCACCACCGCTGCGCCGCGGCCGGCGAGCCTGGCATCTTCCTCTGCTTGGTGCTCAGACCGCGGCCCGTGCCCACGGGCGGCGGGGATGGGCAGGCAGAGCATCTGCCCCGAAAATGAACTTCTG